CTATTACTTTATTCCAGTTTCTAAAGGATGATGCCTGTCGCTCACTACCTCCGACTGCTTATCCCTAGTATGGCTGCTGGGTGTCGAAGAACCATGTAATATGTTGCCTACTTCTATTTATTTCTAACAGCCCTCCTTTAATACTGTGATGATGCACCACCCGCAACCATCAAACTTACTAATCTTCTTATCCCTTCACCTCACGCCTGAGAATTTCTGCACCTTACATTCTTAGCAACATCCCCTTCCGAATTCCGTGTATCGTTGTCCAATGCTTCTAATCTCCACCCGTTTCACTTTTGTACCTGCTAGGCTTTACGTACCCACCTAGCTCCTGTCTCCCATTCCAACTCTACATTCTTCCACCTGGATTGTGAGGCAGAATCGCTCACAATCATCCTTTATGCCACCATACTCATTCCTCTGCCTCCAGCTTGAGGCCACTTTTGCCTTACAGTATAAGTAGCATCTACTTCCGGATTCTGAACGTTGATGCTTTCTACTCCTTGGTTATATCTAGTTCACTGTAGTATGTGAGTTCTGCTCCCGAGAGCCAGCTAGCCTGTGGCATGTTCCCAGTTCATTATAAAAGACCTCCATTTGGATTGTGACGCAGCATTGCTCACAACCACCCTACTTGCCAACAGCTTGATTCCTCCACCTAAAGCTTGAAGTCTCTTTGGTCTTACATGCTCAGTATCGTCTACTACCGTATGCTAAATAACAAAAACTGCTGCTTCCATTCTCCATCTGACTGCTAAGCAGCGAAGAACCACCTAGATGGTGCTTTATTCAAAGTTCACTTTTAAAAGCCTGCATTTAGCTTGCAATGCTGCATCGTTCACAAGCATTAGAATGCCCAAAAGATGCTTCGCTAGCGCTTCCGCTTAAAAACCCCGTGACCTTAATATTCTCCACAGCAAGTTTCCGAACGTTGATGCCTGTCACTTCCTAGCTCCGTCTATGAAACCTTAGTTCAACTGATAGGTTTTGAATAACCACCAAGCCTGTAGCTCATTCCCATTTCATATTAAGAGGCTATCCTTTGAATTGTTGTGTCGCATGGTTCACAACCATCCGTCTTGTCAAAATGTTCAACATCTCACATCACGATTGCTGATACTTCGGCCCTACATTCTCATCAGATTCTCCCGGACTATGATCGTTGCTATCCGCTGCTTCTCATCTCTATATTTTTATCTCTAATATAGCTGATGCGCCCTAAATTTTCATCTAGATTGCTGCTCATCCCCATTTTAATTTCACATGCTACTTTTCCCACTGTGATGCCGCATGACTAAAAACCATCTGTATTACCAACATATTCATCTCTTCATTTTATGCTCAAGGTCTCTATGGCCTTACATTCTCATTGCTATCTCCAGTGCTGCTGCCAGTCGCCGCATAGCTCAATCTATTTATTTCTGTTGTGACTGATATGTTTCGATGAAATACCTAGCAAGCGGCTCACTTCCAGTTCATTTTAACAGGGTTCCTTTAGGACTATAGTAACGCGACGCATACACCCACTCGACTCACGAATATGCTGTTCCCTTCACAGCATGCCCGTTAGTACCTCGGCCTTAAATGCCTAGTAGCATCTCCTTCCTGAATCCGAATGTCGTTGTCTGCTGCTTTTATTCGCTACCTGCTGGACTTTCGTATGGTTTCTAAGCTGTACTTGGCTACTTAGCTCCTAACTGTCTTCTATTACAACGTTACATTCTCCAATTTAGATTGTGATGCTGCATCGCTCCAAACATCCGAATCGCCATCATATTTATTTCCTGGCCTCCTGCTTGAAACCACTTTGGACTTACTATCTAATCATCATCTGCTTTCGGATTCGGAACGTCGAGGCTCGCTGCTACCTAGCTACCTAAATTTCACCCCAGTATGTCGTATTAGCTTTGGAAAGCCAACATGCCAGTGGGTCATTATTATAATATTTAGCTGACTTCCTTTATATTTTGATGCAGCGCGGCTCACTTCCATTCTATGTACTAACATTTACATTGCTTCAGCTTACGCTTTAGGTATCCGTGGCCTGTTAGATCACATCACATATGAAGTTTTATTTCGTCACACTTGTGGGATCGCAATCCACATGAACTTTTATTCCGTTGCACTATCTTCGGAACGGAAGGTTTTATCATCATGTGCACGTGTACTTAAGTCTCGCTTGACCTACACCACAAACGAGGTCAACATAACAAAACTACTACAGTCTTTTGAGAGTGCCTTGGATACCACCTCCTGACATCGTGTAATTAAATTCCTCCTGAACTATCTCACAAACGATGTCAATAAAACAAAACGATTTCAGTCTTATCGAGATTGTCTTGGATACCACATTCTCACATTGTGTATTTAGAATCCTCTTGACCTACATTCACACATCTTACCACTTACGGCCCACATGTTTAAACGCCCGAACGAAGCATTATATAAACACTATAGTACAGCGACAAAAACAACTGCCGACCGACTACAGTGTTGCTCCCGTAAGACGAACGACACACGACCGTTCCGGCTGGTGCTTCGACAACCGTCATGAAGAGCGCTACGCCCACGACGACAAGACAATCGTCAGACGACCGGACTGGCCGCGACCTGCAATTCCCCACGAACAGGATTTGTGCTCTGAGAAAAGTCCCCAATTTCTCATTACTTTATTTTTGAGTGACACTATTAAATTCTGTTTCGTACATTGTATTCTTAGGGCCGGCCTCTCCTTTTTATATCTTTGCTGTACTGATACACAACAAACACGCCTCACTACTTTTACTGCATATTTGTTAGTGCGCACCTTCTGATATTTTCAATCCGCCAACTAGTCGAGTTGTAACCTACTCAGCCACTAACAATTGGTGACTTCGACGTGAGCAAGTATGCAGACACCAACTGCAGTAAACTATCATGTGTTTGGCAATTTCTCGTATACGTCCAAACGTGCAGCAGCACTCGAATTCATATAAGATGGATGACAGTGCCGAACCTCAAACCAACGTTGTGTCACTTCACTTACCATCTGTTTGGTACAGCGAGCCGGCCATTTGTTTTACACAAGTTCAAGCACAATTTGCCCTCCGCAGAATCACACAGGAGATGACAATGTTCTATCATGTGCTCGCCGCATTACCATCAGAAGTGTTTGCCGATGTTCGAGATATTTTGTTTTCTTCCGACCCCATCACCCCATTCCAACAGCTCCGCGATGCTCTAATCCGTCGTACCTCGATTTCAGAACACAAGAGGCTAGAACAACTTCTCGTAGATGAAGCACTGGGAAACCTGACACCAAGACAACTCCTGCGCCGTTTGATCTGCGTTAAGACAGAACGAAAGATAGACACTGGTCTATTAACCCAAATGTTTTTAAAGCGGCTACCCCAACACATCCAAGGCATTCTAGCCCCAACCGTAACGGAAGTTCCGATTGATAAGTTGGCAATGATGGCGGACCGTATACTGGGTGTCCAACCGCAGGTCAAATCGCTAGACCACCATACCCCGACCCATCAAATAAAGATTTAGCAGACCGGATAACATGATTGTCACAACAGCTAAATGAGATGAGCATCTCTAGGGCACCACATTTCAGACGTCGATTGCGATCTCCTTCCGGCAAATCCAGATGCCGTAATTTCTCCGATCTCCTTCACGATTTTACCCACATAGTTCTTCTTCTAGTCAGGCATCGAACGCCGCATTTTGTTGTTGCCATCAGACATTTGGACCAAAGGCACAGAAATGTAGACACCCCCTGTATTTTTAAGTCACAACCGAGAGTGGATTTTAAGGCTCCGGGAAACGAATAGGGCGGATTTGTGAGGCGACTATGATCTGCCCGACACATACCAATCGCCGACTGATCATACAGGATCGGACTTCCGGACTACATTTCTTGATAAACACGGGAGCGGACATCAGTGTCATACCCCCTTCTCAAAACCAGCATGCCCTCAAACAGAGCTCACTACGACTGACTGCAGCTAATGGTACGTGTGTTTCCACTTTTGGACAACACTCCATAACTTGGTTTACGTCGCTCTTTCACATCAGTGTTCATCGTAGCGGATGTCAAACAGCCCTTAATTGGTGCCAACTTTTTGACCCGTTGTAATTGTTAGTCGGTCTTAACACTCGTTGTCTCCGAGATTTGACAACCCTAGTACCTTTTACTGGTCAAACTACTACAATTCCAACATTCCCACCAAGCCTTTTTGCCGCGAATATGTCTGATTCTTCATTCTCCGCAATTTTACGTAATTTTCCCGCTCTCGTATTGCCGAAGTTCCATCAGACGGAGATTAAACACGACGTAACCAATCGCATAGCATCCTAAGGTAATCCAATGTACGCTCGCCCACGTCGAATGAACCCTGATAGAATGAAAATAGCTAAGGCTGAGTTCCAACACATGCTTAAATTAGGAATAATACGTCCCTCACAAAGCACTTGGTCTTCACCACTACACATGGTACCGAAATCAGATCCAAATGACTGGCGACCCTGTGGAGACTACAGAGCTCTAAATAACGTTACAGTGCCTGACAGATACCCCCCTGGTAGCACATGTCCAGGTCCTGTCCAGTTTAGCATCCTAAACGTTCCTATGAGAGCATTAGGCTAAACTGGACAGGAAGTATTACCGTGAGACGGCTAAAAAGGGTTCCTGTCCAGTTTACGTTGGACCAATGAAGATGATGCTAGCGTTGACCAATAGAAATTCACCACTATGCGTGACAATCCGGTTGGTCCAGATCCCGTCATTGCCTCCCATGGGTATCCGAATACGGACACCACACTAGAACGCACTATGCGCCTAACGAATATATGGACGGCTCGGACCTAGCGTTCACCCGGTACCTGTTGCGGTAGTTGCTGGACTTGGGAACCCACCTAGGCGGCGACTCAAAGCTGTTGGTCAGAAAAGGAAACGGCTCTTACCGCGCACCTGACATCACAAGGCGAAAGAAAATTAAAACCGAGGTATAGGAATGCTATATATACATGAAGGGGTGCAGTACAAAGAACGTTAGTAGCAGAAAGCGGCATAGTCAATATTGTTAATCCGCTTCCGCGAGTGTCAACGTAGGAGGCTAAAGATGTGCCTAAGGAAGCAGGGGACTCACCTCATTCGCACTGCATACTTTAGTTTGCTCAACCGGCGGTCTTTTGTGCCGTGCAGAATGCAACCACGTTTTGATGTGCCGTGTAATGTCAGCATCCGAGGCTGCATCACCCATGCGTTGCCGAATGATGCCTTGGTAGTTTTTATGGATTACTGCATTTCAACCTACCTTGTACAAGGCCGTTCATATTTGTTCGCCTGAATGCAAACGAACCTCTAGCGCCGGAGTAATTTATCTCCGCGGCAACTGATCTTGTCATTAGCCGCTCCATGGTACCCCGGACGATGAGTTGCACGTTATCACCGTGCACAGCACATAAATGGTTGACCTAAAGTAGTTGAATAATAAGACGAACTTACGACTCTGATTTTGAAATCGGGGTCCTTCAGCCGTTCATCATATCTCTTTAGCTCACTGAGAGAGATGAATGGCAGAGATAGTCCCGGCGCAACACTTTGGGATTGTCGTTGTAGCATTTGCAACATCGCTTCGGACATGCGGCGATGGCCGACCAATTCTGATCGAATGAGACACAACTCATCTAAAAATAAGGCTGAGTGCAATGCAATACATCTGTGGCGTCTTACATTTTATGGCCTGCAGTTCCTGCAGCACATCCAGATTGCATGGTGCGACGTCAGCAATAACCGGGGGCGCGATTACTGTTTAATAGGGGCAGTATGAAATCGATACTTACGGTTGCTTGTTGATGGCCCTGGACGTGATGGACTAATGCCACTGAACAGAGAGGAGGGCGCACGTGCGTATGTTGCTGCAGAAGGCCTTTTGGGTTTGCTGGGACGCGCGGCATCCTCGTCATCGGAGCTAGAACGGACGGGCCGGCGTCTAAGGGGAAATAAAAAACACCATACTCACATTGCACGCTTAGCTGGAAGGCCCATGGGAATTGTATCGTCTGTCGATGGCAGCATCCCGCGCTCAGATTGCCGTTCCATTTCTCGGGCATGCTGGAAGCTAACTAACGAGGTGGGTTAATATAAGAGAAATACTTACTCGTGCTAACGATTATGGACACGGCAGTGCTGACCACATCGACATCCGGCGCAGTGTGATTTTTCACCGCTGCATAGTAGTGCGTACCCCGCACTGAAGGTATTTGAGCGTACGAACCTTCTTCTCTAAGCCAAGTGTTACTGACAATAGTTATTAAATCCTCGGAGTCAAGGAGTTTGACAACGCTGTATCCTTGAAAAGCCATCATTGCTGAAAAAGAAAGACGTTAGTAGTTAAAGTGTATAACTGTGTGGCATAGGGTAAATTACAAGGAAATCGTTCAAGGGTAAAGCAATGCACTTAAATAGAATATGACAGACAGAGAAGCTACATACCTCAGTTGACAATTGCGATGCACGGAAGATGTACGCCGTTGAGGAATCCATGCTATGCGTGAACAGACTACGGAGATTCATAAATTCCCGGCATTGCACGACAATGTTCCCGGACACATTCACAGACACATCTGTCAGTACTCTGGGTTTGGCATCGATGATGACCACGTTATCCGGCTTCACAGTGGAAAACAAAATGCCGTGCAAACAAAACGCCTTCTGACCCTTATATGTGCACATCTCTACATTCCCAACCGTGCTTGCGTTGCTGGAAGTAGGAGGAAGCTGTTCCTCTTCCGACGTACGCCGCATGATTTGAGCAACCGGACGCGGGGAATTGTGAATCATGCGCTTGATGGAAAACAAGTGAGACTCGAAGGGAAATGCTGAGAAGCTGTCTAACGTCCCCATCTTTCGTACGTCAGCGGGCAGATGAACCAGTGAGTGTACGTTCCACGTCATCTCACTGGGACCATAAAGATCAAAGTAATCATGTAAAAATACATGAATTAAAGGAACAAGGAAATCAAATAAGGCAGTGTGAAGGTGAGGGTGGCACATGATATAAATAGCAAATGAGAGATCTAGAAAGTTTTGATAGAAAGCATCAGGCAATACCCCAATTAAACAAGCTGGTCCGGCGTAGAGCAAAAACTGACGCAACTCAGTTGCCTTCCAAGATCGGTATTCATCCAGTGATCGAAGCTTACGTGGAAAGTCCGATGTCCAGGAAGGCCCGAAGTCATGCAACCGTTCGTTTGCTAAAATCAATCGCTCTCTGCGCAGTCGAAATCCACTGTCCACGGGCGAAGTGAGCCAGTTTTTTATCATTCTGCGCATAACACCCAAACATACTGAATGCATATAGTCAATTGGGAAGTCCTCAACCAAATCGACATTCAAAGCAGCAAAAGGCGACGGTTGGCTATCATTCCTTCGAACGGATGCATTAGTCCGTAGTGTGCTATCCGTAAGTGGGTATGTTACCTTGCGGCTCATATACTCACCACGTTGGGTGCATTTGTCACAGCTGTAATAACCCGAATGTTCTTTTTTCTTTTCACATAAGCGCGTGCAGGGGTATCACAGATAACGGCTTTAAGGTTGAATAATCCTTGGCGTTGCAAAGTACGTATCTCATTAATTGCGTCGTACAAGTAATCGTCCACGTCATTCGGCTTCGAGGTCCCACCATAAACACCAACAATGAATGGCTTCGTGATCACTGGCTTTATGACACGGCACAAGATTGGCCATACATGCATCTTGGATGCATTAAAAGGTTTAAACCCGTCAATATGCAACTGATAGTCAACAGTGTCATCAGCGGCGAGCGAAATAGCAGAGCATGCACGCTGTAAACCTCTCAGCAGACCTACGTGACCGTAAGTTCCCGGTGAAACAACGCGAATGCGGGAGGTCCGTGGGGTGCGCATCAGCGTCCGGTAATCCTTTGGCAAAAATGGCATCCACGGCTGCACAAGGCACAACAGTGGACGAACAAAAGACGCTGGTACTTGAGATTTTGCGATCAATTTTCTCAAGTTATGTACCAATTCATCGGGGTCCCTGTCATCTTCACTGCGGTTGATAACGTGTGCAGGTGGCTGAACTGTGTAAGCAATCATATTTAAGATATGTTAAAGATGCTCTTACCCTTCTGTCGTTTAGCTTCTGACAACAGAAGCACCTCTTCGTAGCTGAATCCTGATGTCATTCTTTTCGCTGCACGGTAAATGGTGCTACGAGACGGAAACTGTGCAGTTAATTGATAACTTCGTCGACGTGACATGCTGAAAAGGAACACCTACGTATCAAACAAGGTTTAACCGAAAAACCTGATAGGTACACCTGCGGAAACGCAGTTTCAAGGAAGCTAGACAATAGCGCAGAACGAAGCAGTATCAGCGACCAAGGTTACGAAACCGAAACTCTGCAAATAACATGACCTACCGATGCATTTAAACCACTGGGGTTATGGTCAATTAATAGCAATTATAATGCATACCAACCATTTATTTATTAACAAATGTCAAACTGAATGCATTTTGCTGCAAGAACTGCATTAATACCTGAACGGGACATCAGTCCAGTTTATGTCCAGTTTGCTACGTTTACTGGTACGATTGTGCTACCAGGGCCATCCCACATACACAGGATTGCACCTCGAACATTGCTGGTAGCATAATCTTCTCGCACATCGATATATTCAGAGCATACCACCATATTCCGGTGAATCCTGATGATATACATAAGACTGCGGTTACTACTACGTTCGGTATGTTCGAATTTTTACCTATGCCTTTTAGATTTTGTAACGCTGCGCAAACTTTTCAACGGTTTATTGATCAGGAATTACACGGTCTACCTTTCGTTTTCGCGTACTTGGACGAAATTTTAATAGCCAGTAAGACACCAGAAGAGCACAAACAACATTTGCGTACGTTATTTCAGCGTATAGATAAATTTGATATCACCATCAACCTACGAAAAGCACCCTAGGAGTTCCGTCATTAAATTACCTAGGTCACCGAATCTACTGCACTGGTCTGACACCAACAGATCACAACTCGTTATCGCTCACAACGTATCCTCCCCCGGCATCCTTCCGCCAACTCAAGAGGTTTCTGGGAATGATTAATTATTACCGACGTTTCATCCCGCATGCAGCCGAGATTTTAGCTCCTCTAACAAATCTCTTGGTTGGACCTCAGAAACAGTTTAAAATGTCCAGTGCATCTGCGCAAGCTTTCACGCAAATAAAAAGCACTCTTAATAATTAATTGAATCTATTTCATATCCGTCCGGACGCAAATTTGTCTCTTCACATCGACGCTTCTAATACAGCCGCCTGAGCAGTCCTGAATCAACACGTTAATAATCAACTGCAACCCATTGGCTTCTTCTTTTTAAAAAATTGACGACGACGGAAACACACTAAAGCACCTTTGGCCAGGAAATTTAACCAGTTATCTAGCTATTAAGCACTTTCGGCATTTTCACGAAGGCCGTGAGTTTTGTGCTTTTACTGACCACAAGCCGTTAGTCACCGCCTTTCTTGCTAAGCCCGACCGCTATTCACCTCCTGAGATTCGTCATTTAGGTTACATCTCACCGTTCACGTGAAACATTTGACAAATAACTGGTGCTCGTAATATTGTAGCGGATGACTTGTCCCGACCAGCTGTTGACGAGATCACCGGTATATCCTCCATCGATTTCCAACGCATGGTACGACTGCAGAAAGCTATGCCACTACCGACGCGTACGGGTAGCCAATCCTCATCATTGAAGATACGACCATTTCCGATACCTTCGGCACCAGGTACAACTGATTGTGATATGGCGACAAATAACCCAAACCAAGGGTACCCGAACCTATGGGTAGAGAAATATTTAACGCTCTTCATAATGTTTCTCACACTGGAGTCCGCGCGACCCATCGGTTAATAGAGCAACGTTTTGTTTGGCCGAATACGAACTTGGACGTTCGCAAATAGGCTAAACATTGCATAAGGTGTCAAGGTTCTAAGGTCGTTAGGCATACGCATTCTAATAAGAGTACTTCCGCACAACCTGATCGCAGAATCGACCATATTCATATTGATATATTTGGTCCACTACCCCATTCAAACGGAAAATCATATGGAAATCATATGGAAATGGACACTTTTGCCCATGTCATATAAGGCAAGGCAATGTGAACATGGTAACAGTTATGTTCCATTTTTGGTTAAATACTCTGCATTGATAATAGTGAATTAATTTTCTCGTTGGCCAGAAGTACATTTTACCAAATCTGCCAAGTTAGACTTCAAGATTACCGCTCACCTCAAGTCGTTAAGTCGCAAAGAATGACCGACTGTTTATGTTTCGGACAGTGATAGTCATTTCAGTGGTAAAACCTTGGATGAGTGGATCAACTTTTGGTTGCTGCCACCACTAATGTGGCAGCGCGTACGCGCGGGCCTTACCACGACCGCACTTCGTAGCTTGTGATTGGATGTCCGTCCGTTCGCGATCAATACCAGAGTGTACTGAGTGAATGTACCGTTGGAGTGAACAGAAGTTTATGTTGCGTACCAGTAGAGTTCTGCTTCCTCGTTCGGGGCTTTGGTCGTGCTTCTTCAAGACCCTGCGTGCAGGGGACTAGTGTACGTGTAGACACAACAACTATACAGCTCCCAAGCACCCGCCATTCAATGTTGTCGCAAGAAGTATGTGTGTTCTTAAAATTGCATTCGCTCGCCTCCAACCAGCAACGCTTTTTGAGATTTACATAGGCGTTGATATCTTCCTAATGCAACAAAGGAACGCGACTAATTCGGCCATGGGAGAAAGTCTGACAGAGTTGTTCAACTGACGCCTGCTTAGGACAAATATGTTCTGTCTTGAATTTGCCGAAATTTTTCACCACCATCGCAATTCACCGACCATCACGTGGAATTATCCGCAACCAACTTGATTCTCGTATGTTTCGAATAATTCAGTCGGATGTTTCTCTACCTTATAGACATTAGGATCAAGTTAAATGTTATTCTCCTGATAATACTGGTATTGTTGAGGAGTTTGACGATCTTCTTCGACTCCATTGCGCTAAGAGCTTCAACGGACGAAGAGTCTTCTGAAATTTCCAACAACAATAGGGGAGTTATGAGAGACTCAACAACAATCATCGTTTTTGGACGGGCAACACTTAATTTCTATCCGTTATTATTATGGTCACAGTAATCGCAGTGAATATGGTTCACTTCAATGTGAATCACGGTCCATTACATCGAGATTGCGCGTCCCAATCCAATCACACAACGGATAGTCCAAATTGATCGTCCTATTAATCATCGCCCTTGTTTACAAAGAACATAACTTACTTTGAACTGCGGCGGACGCGATGATTGCACTTGAAAAATAGTGTATCATCCTTTTGTTTACGAACTTGGCGTAGTTCCGAATTCAGGAATTCGACCGGTGTGTGCTCTCATTGAGCCTTATTACCACAGTGTTGTTGCTAGTTCTGCATTTGTGCTTAATACATTTCGATTTCCGTTAATTGGCAGAATACCACATGGAATTGAATAACAAATAGAGAAACACGCATTCTTCGGCAGTGTTATTTTAAGGGAGCATTTCGCTTGCAAGCACAATATTACTCTAAAACAGTTACTTCTATATGGATGTGACATCCATTGCCTCAAATATGATACAAGATAAAGCAGCTTTTACCGACCAATTAGATCTTG